AAAACTACACAAAACTACATAGGGGGTGTTTGGAACTGATTCTGCTTCTGCTTCTTTTTTAAAGCAGAAGCAGAATCAGAATCAGTTTTCAGAAGCTGGTACCTACCAACTTCTAAAAAAACTGATTCTAAGAGTAAATTGGAGCACCAGAAGTGCTTCTGGAATTTCAGCCAAACACTCCACCTTCTGCTTCTGCTCCCTGAAGGAGCAGAATCAGTTTTGAGAATCAGATCCAAACACCCCCATAAACACACAACAGAAGCATGTGCTCCAAGAGCATGACAACACAAGCTCCAAAACATAAGGAGATAATACAAACGACATTGACATAAATCATAAGTATTCATGTCGACGATATTACTAAAACCATAAACGAAACGATATTTAAAGTTTTTTTTGCAGGGTGCGGAGCCAAACTCGTCATTTATACAACGAAGGACAAAATCATAATTGCCAACCGAAGTGTCGACATCAACCTGGACGAAGTTACAACTCGCCAGCATTGCTTAGATACGATAATTAGCACAAATATGGAGGAAGATGACAGGAGATCAGTTTTCGTTCTTCGTCACCCACTCAAGGAGACAAATTCGATCTAAAAACTACTCGCAAGGATAGTGACATGTTGATAGAAGCGTCTAGACAAGCATATGACGAGTTAATGGAAGTAGCAGACGAGTGACAGGTTGAAGGGAGCATGTCGTCAGAAAAGTGGTGAGTTGACAAAGGCGTCTTGTTATACAAATGGCAGGTTGACAACATGTCTTATCAGACAAAGGACGAGTTTATATGGGCGATATTCAAAGATGATAGGAATCAAAGTTTTCAAGATTTCGAAAAGTTGATGCTTAACGGGTTGACATGTGCGTCATACGCTTCAACTTCTCGAAAGGGGGCAATTGTTAGGCCAGGAATTTAGCAAATAATGGGCTGGTGATTTAATAAGATATGTAACTAAAGATATGGCCCAGAATCCGTTTTGTAAGTGGATTTAATTCAAGTTAATGACTCAAGAGATAAGATTTGGCTACCAAGTCAAATCAGTTAGTGGAAGAGAGGATAAAACAAAGCAACAACGTGACTCCTAAATCGGGGGGATAGGCATGAAGCTTGGCGGAAGGTTAAACAACAAAGGGCGGATTCATTCATATCTGATGTATATATATGTGTGGCGAGGTCATCCCAGGGGGCACGCCCACTCACGATCAATTCGATCAAGCTATTACTTTGTATTCATACATATCAATATAGTCCAACAACTAAATATTATTCATTTGTTATCCAATTATATTTATTATTATTTATTCCCGATCAATCCATATTCGATTCTTGTTTGCTTGATTCCCATTCAATTCCATATTTAAATTGTTTAATTTTGGCTAAAACATTATACTCCCTCTGTTCTCTAATACTTGACCCTCTTTCTATTTTGGGATGTTCTCTAAAAGTTCGCTTACCCTCATTCTCTTTACTAATTTTTCATTCTCTTTCCTACTTTTTCATTTAAACACAACCCACTACACCTCTTACAATACCGCTATTATTTTTCTCCTAAACCTTGTGGCTTGTGCCAAGCACATAAGGACATCTAATAGAGAACGGAGAACGGAGGGAGTATGTAAAAATAGCTAAACTGGTCATCTACAATAGCCAATAACTCTAACCTTACTATTTCTGCTTATTACACAATTTGAAAGCAAAAGTAAGCCTGATAAGCTGAAAAAAAGTATTATAGACTAAAATATATGCAGATCGAATTATACGTAGTAAGCAATTAAGAAAAAATATACTACGTACTTTGTATTACCCGTAGCTAGTACTAAGCAATTTAAGGCTGAAGTCTATTTTCCACACACAGCACATAGTTAATAGTTTGATTACTAATAAGTTTCACAAGCAATTAGAGGCTGATCGATCGACTTTGATTTATACATAGCAAATTAAACTAAGAAAGGAAAGAAAGGCAGGGCAGGGCATCCATCTGTAATGGATGGAGAAACATATAGATCGATCATCTGTGTATATATATATCATCATGCGCTGGGAGCGGCGTCTTTGGCCTTCCCGTGAAGGTAGCCACCGGCGTAATCCTTGACGTGGTTGGCGGTGTCGACGATCCTGCTCCGGGCATAGTCGATCCGGTCCGAACCCGGCGGGTGGAACCCGTTGAGGTAGCGGTAGAGCCAGGAGACGGTAATGGCCGCAGCGATGCCCAAACCGCAGACGGACAAGAACCCGGCGGCGGCGAGGAAGAGGAGGGACCCGACGGGGATCCAGACGGGGCTGGAGATGATGATCAACGGCGTGAAGAAGATGAGGCTCACGATGCTGGCGGTGAGGGTGAGGCCGGTGAGGAGCAGGAGAATCCCCCCGGACACGACCAGGGTCAACAGACCCACCAGCTGGGCCGAGGTCGGCGCGTTCTCTTGAAACCTGCGGAGGATCGAGGAGGTTGCCGCCGCCGGACCACCGCTGCCCCGCGGCTGCGATCTATGGGATTGCACGTCGGCCATCTATCTGATCTCTATTTAATCCTGATTACAGTATTATTCGATCAATTCGCAGCTACAACAAATGAAATCAAACAGCTAGCGAGCTCGCTAGCTTGAATCAGGTATTATTGTTTTTTTGTTGAGTTCAAAGAAAGGTAACTAGGAGATACTGTATTTTTTTTAGAGTATATATAATGTTTTTGCAATGGAGTGATTCATGCGTTTATAGAAAAAGAAGGCGACGTGTGGGATCAGTGGTTTGCCGCGAAAACATGCAAGAGCACACGTGGGAGGGCGGAATGAAGGGAAGGCTGCACCTCTTCTTTTTTGTGAAATGAAATGAAAAGTAGGGATTATTATCAAACTCTTGGCCCATACAAATTTAGGACTGAACTAACAAACCCCAAAAATATGTTGGTGACAACTCTCGTACCCTTCTAAAAAATGGGGTACCGTACCTATCATTTATTTGATTGGACCACACTACTTTATCATTTTTAATTTAGATTTAAATTATTCAACTGCTAGATTCTCATTGATCCATGTGGACAAAGGTATGGTACCTTATGGGTACCATAGAATCTACCAAATATGTTTACAAAACTCATACTTCCTCCGTTCTATAATTCTTGCAATATTGTGATTTTTACACTATTCACATATCTTACTTTGATCATGATTTTCTACAAATATACATAATCAAATTATTACGTATAAATTGTTATTGAACTCTTATCAATGTGAATTTCCAAAATATCAACTTTTTATAATGTTTACTAATACATAATTAAATATAATTATAGTCAAAGTTGTGCATTGGCAAACGTGAAAGTCAAACCGTTGCAAGAATTATAGAACGGAGGATAATATTAAATTACTCGGTATAGTGTATACGATAGGAGAAATGCTAGAGGTACCCCATTTTCTATCCCATTTTGTACCCCATTCTATGTTTGTGGCTCACAAAAATCCAACCAAATTAAAATAATTGCTCCATTTTAACTCATTGCTTTTGTGAACCACAAACATAGGAGAGGGTACAAAATGGGGTAGCTTTAGCATTAGTGATACGCTAGTATATACTTCCTACCATGAAGTAATTAAAACAATTTTCCCTTGATTAGATTTGGAGAAATGGTGCCAAATAGGACCACAAGTTTCCGTATATACTTAAATAGGACCTTGACTTTTTTAACTCTTAAATAGGATTGTTTTTTCCTCGTGTGCCAAGTTTACCCCTTCAGTTCTTTTCTTTCCAGCCTCCTCGACACCAAGCGCTTTTCAGATCTTTCTGCACCCAACTCTTCGTGAAAAGCAAAAGTCTGAGAACAGAGATCAAATCTTTGAAGAGAAGGTGCGCCGACGATGAAAGAGAAGATGGGCGACAAGGAATAGATGCAGGGAACCGCCCGCAAAGGGGTCACCGATCAGATCTTTCTTCTTCGTTTTCTTCTCTTTTCTCCTCCACCTCTCCTTCTCTTTTCTTCTTTTCTTCCTTGGCTGGCTCGCTTGCTGCTGCTCATTTATCTCTTTCATCAGATTTCTTCAGATCTGATTTCTTCCGTTTCTTTTTCGTTTTTCTTTTTCGATTCCTTCACATAGTTGGTTTTAAGGTTTCTGTCTTATTGTAATTTCCTATTATAATTTGTATCGTAATTGCATTTTTGCTACATACAGTAATTGCTATATGTTTTTTTTTTGAGAGAAGAGTGCTTTGTTGAAGAGATAGGTTTGTGGCTATGAAGCACCATACATGGGACCGGGCTAAGGAAGGGAAAAAGGAGCTTGAAGGTCAGCCTGTGACTTAATGGGAGCCAAGTGTTGGAGGGTATTTGAAGTTCTTAGTCAATAGCAAATTGGTTTATGATACACTTGAGAAGATCGTGGGGAAACCTTTGTTTCCTGGTTATGCTGAATTTAGGAACACTGGGTTGGAAAGGTCAGAGAGTCTGGAAAAATATTTGGAATGGTTTAAGCAGCAAGGCCTCTCCATCCTAGAACCATCAAAACCCGGCCTCAGTTATGCCCCATATCTTGAAGAGCTATCGGTGGGCGATCCACAAGCCTTCCTTTGTCACTTACATGGTTATGACATTGCAAATGTCATTTACATTGTTAAGTTTTTTATAGTATTAACATTGCAATTATAGTCATTTATATTGTTATTATAAACATAAAGTATAAAGTGATGAATGTGAATTGGCTTTGTCTTGCAAAAGTTACAACTACTGAAAATAAAAGTTATATTTTAAAGCTTTGGCATAATTTTTAATAATGTCATTTTCATAATGATTGACATTTTTATGACATTGTCATTGACATTTTTATGACATTTTCGTTGACATTCTTATGACATTTTCATTGACATTCTTATGACATTGTCGTTGACGTTATCATCGTGATTAATTAACATTTTAATGACATTGGCGTTGACATTCTTATGACGTTGTCATTGACATTCTTATAACATTGTCATTGACATTTTCTTGACGTGGAGACATTTTTATACATTGACATTATCAAGATAATGATTTGAAATGCTAAAACAATTTGAAAACCAAATAATTTCAACTTTTTTCAAAATCATACGGAGTATTACAATACATATCGAATGTCTAATGTCAATATATGTCATTGTAATTCCATGACACTAGCTATGTACAATAAACAACGTCATAAGAACGTCATAACAACATCATAACAACGTCATAACAATGACATTCTAATATTTCACTGTTAAAAATAATGAAATTTGTAAAATAAAATAAAAAATAGAAAAGGGAACATAATAACTAAGGAATGAGTTGCCAAAAAAGGAATGGAAAAAGTGCTCTGTAGTCTAAGTCTGTACTCCATGACAAAAAATCAACACCGAACATGTCGGCCAAGTAATTCCAGGCAAAGGACCTTGAGAGCTTGCCAGACGAAAGTGGACATGTTGCTCCAAATCCTCTGCCAATCAGACTGAAAATTCGATTGAGGAAAAGTTGCTCTGCTCTCCAGAATGGTCTCTGAGACGGCAAATTAGTGTTGTCGGACTTCTGTAGAATCAAATGCACCGTCGTGAAGATTGAACATCGAATCAAAGATAGATTGCAAAATAGATTTCTGACTTTTTGCCAACCAGATTTGCATCCACCAGATTTCTGGATTTGCACCGCCGCATCAAATCCGAAGATAGGAATCGAGGGTGTACGGTTGGTGCTAGCAAAACATTTGCAAGGAGCGACATTTTTAGGGGTGTTTTTGTCCGTTCGTAAAAAATGAGTCGTATTTGGGGTTAAAAAGTTCTGACTCCTATTTACCTTCTCAAGCATTGTTTTAGTCTTATTGAAGTCTTTTTCCCTTAAATTTGCGTGCAAAATGGGATAAACCAGAAATGTCTTATTTTACACCCAATCCGCTTTTCGTGCTGAATCAAATTTGAGTCCCTTTCCTAACTAAGTTATGGGCAATTCTTACAATTTTAAATTTACAAAGGACACAGTTTTTTATTTTACGTATTGAATTATGTGGTAATAAGAATAAGTGGATTGAAATTATTTTCTTCGTCGATTCACTGAATTTAATTACTTAACATATACTCCCTCCGTCCCCCTAAGTTTGGGACGGAGGGGTGTGGTGTGGTTTTTAAGAAAAAGTGAAATTGTGTGGTTGGTATTGAATTGATAAAGTGTAAATAAAGTAAGAATGAATTCTAACCACTCAAATGTTACCAAATATGATATGGGACAAACTTAGTGGGACGGACGAAAAAGGTAAAACGGGACAAACTTAGGGGGACGGAGGGAGTACTATTTTAATTACTTGTGCATCTTTATTACTCCGTATATTATACCGAGTAACTAGTTTTGTCACAACCGGTGCACGAGGGTAAATGCCTAATGACGGGAGATGGGCTTTGAAAATTGAACAAAACTGACGATACAGAAGAAGGAAAAATTAATGAGAGTTAACAAAAACATGCAAGGAGTACATCAAAGAGAAAATTGATATGGCTAAGATAAAAATATAGGCTTTTTCCCAAAATAGGACTTAAATATTTGGTTTTCTCTAAACAGGACAAATTTTACCCTTTTTACCCCTAATTCTATTTAATTAATTAATTGATCTAAATTATTGCCCCCCTTGTTTCCTTGCACAACCAAGGCAGTCCGTCGGTGGCAGGGCAGTCCATGGTGGCGGCAGCACTCCAATAGCCGGTCGGCGGCAACGGCGGCAGAAATGTTTGTAGACCTGCAAAAAAATCTAAAAAAAAAATCGGCGGCGGGCAGCACTCCAGGGGTAGCAGTGGGGGTATTTTGGTCGAATCACACATAAAAAATTCTATTTAAGAATGTTTAAATTAATTGGTCTTATTTTGAGGAAAATGTCATGCTTTGCACTATATATATTATGGTAAATCTTGCTACATCAAAATGGTGGCAGGGGATCAAGCAGGCCCAGAAACGATGTTGCATGCAACCCTGTCTATCTCGTATGTATGCCTGTGGTGGGGCGACAGCTACAACGACCATATTTGTAAAACGCTAGGCTACAATGTTGGTTGATGTCGAAAGCTAGTTAAATCTCCAAAAATTACTCGCCTTATGTGTCATACTGTAATAGAGTAATTAACATTCATTAATAGAGTTCTTCTTCTCCTATTTTACAGGCATATTCCGATGCTGACTGGGCTGGTTGTCCTGATAGTAGTCGGTCCACTTCCGGTTTTGTTATTTTTCTGGGTCCTAATTTGATTTCATGGAAGTCCAAGAAGCAACCAACTGTCTCCCGTTCTTCCACAGAAGCAGAATACAGGGCTATTGCGTACACAGTTCAGGATACTCTCCACATTCGGTCTATATTGTTTGAATTAGGCGTCCCTATTTGCCAGCCTGTTCGGTTATTGTGTGATAATATTTCGGCCTCTTATTTATCCACAAATCCTATTCAGCATGCTCGGAGCAAACACATCAGCATTGATTATCACTTTGTTCGTGAAAGAGTTTCACATGGAGATCTGGTTGTTCGCTATGTTCCCACACAATTTCAGCTTGCAGACATTTTTACCAAAAGTTTATCTCCGCAACGCTTCATCTTTCTTAGAGACAATCTGCGCGTTGTTTCCCCTGCACAGATTGAGGGGGTGTAATAGAGTAATTAATATTCATTAATTAGGTTTCCATATTTCTTATGTTTCCTAATGTACTCAGAACTCTATTCATTATAAATATGACATCTAGGGCTCCCAATTGGGTAAGTCATTCCATTATTCTCACAATACGGCTCATACTCATACCAGACTTAACCCGACCTCTTTTGTCACAGCATGCTCTCAAAAACGTCAGGTTTGCTGCATTGAACAACACACACTGCTGGAGTTTTTGTTGGCACATAAAGAAAAGAGGCAGGGCAAAACAGTTATCTATATGACTATATGTGTAGTTTGGAAAGACAGACTCGACATACAAAAAGGTGTGAGTTCCCCAAATAGAAGTAAAACATAGACAAAATGCAAAAATATGAGTATCATGTATTGAATAGGGGTAACTTTAGTATTTGGACAATTATACCCCTATCCAGGCCCCAACCACTTTCATTAATAATTAAAACATAAAAGAAATAATAAGAGTATTAATTAATTTATAATAAAATTGTAAAAAAACACATGAAAATATATATTAAATAAACTAAATTCTGTATTAAATAAAATTAATAAAAATAAAAAATTATCAAAATAAAAAAAAAGTAAATAAATTAAAAAAATGAAAAACTATAAAAAGATATGCAGGCATCTGTCGCTGCCTCAACATCCTTCCAGCACAACCAGTTCTGACCACCGAAAAAAATGTCAATATTTGTCAGAAATTCCATCTTGATGGCAGTTTGCGAGAAAATTTATCATTTAAAAAGAGTAAAAAATGTCTTCTTTACAACATTTTAAAATCAAAATGACAGTTTTTACATTAAGTGACATTTTCTTCAATGATCAAAGGTTGCATTGTTGGGTAGTGTCCGAGACTGCGGGAAAGGTCTCCATAATTTTCATATATTTTAAAGTTTTTTATCTTTTTTTATTTATTTTTAGAGTTTTTTTTTATTTCAATATTTTTTAAAAATATTTTAGAATTTTTTATATTTTAATATGATCAAATAAGTCCTATTTTAGAATTAATTAGGTCAGAGATAAGTAAAAGTTAATGTTTACTCCTATTGAAAAAAGTTTTATGTTTTGATCGTATTTATGCAATTATGTTTATCTTTTCTCCAATATTTCCTAATTATTAGTCCCTTTACTAAAAAACCTCATGAAATATCTCCCACTATTTATTTATATTTTCCAAAGGAGCCCGAAATGGAGGGGTTTATGAGTTTATCCTTTACCCCGAAGGATTAGGGTTTAAGCCCCAATTCACCCCAAGGCCAAGCTATTCGCAGTTTATTAGTAGTCTATTCAATGGCGTGCGTACTCTCTAGAAGACTACTCCGTACTCTCACCGCTTGCCCCAGGTCATCATACCATTTCATGCGCATACCCTCGACGCCATGCTCGAAAAGCTTCTCTACTGACAGCGACGACGATCCGAGTCATCTGGAATTGGACTTGCCGGGATCGGGATCAGAATCGGAATCAGAATCTGAGGCAAAATCAGATCCTTTCTTTTCAAATCCAGCTCCCGAAACCAACCGGAAGCCCAATACGGGGGAGCGGCCCCTTGAAAATGGCATGGATAATGGCATTTACAAGGTACTTATATCGATGGTTATGCTTGTTCAAACTCTGCACGCTCTTATAATTACTGCAGAGTATTATACTGGATACTGGATATATTAATAGAATTGTTTATGTCTCTTTTTATTTATGCTTCGTCAATTCGGAATCTGCATCCAGGACTTGATAAATAATGAGAAAATAAGTTTTAACCTCTTTAAAACCTGTGCTGATTTCAGTTTGATCTTTAACTTCGATTATGCACAGAATCGAAACAAATAAGCCATAACTAAAAAGATTGTGAAAGGATGGAAAAACTGTATTGATGTATCTTTATGTACTGTCACAACAATAGTGATATCATATCTGTAAATGGAACAGGCAATATTGGTTGGTCAGGTAGGGCAAGCTGCAATACAGAAGAAACTGAAGAGTGGGGCCAAAGTGACTCTTCTTTCTATTGGGACGGGTGGGATCCGAAACAATAGGAGGCCATTTGATAGTGAGGAGCCTAAAGAGTATGCTGACCGGTGTGCTGTTCAGTGGCACAGAGTTTCAATTTATCCTCAGAGGTTGGGGGACCTGGCCGCAACAAATGCTCTTCCTGGGTATGTTCCCATTTCTCTTCATTGTTTGAGCAGTAAAACTGCTACCTTATCCCGTTAAATTTGTTGCTGTGCGGTAATCACTTTAAAGTTTATGGTTCATCAGTCATATGCTTTCCAAACAGTAATTCATTTGATTTTTTTGTACTGAATTGGTTAAAAAGTAGGATGGAGATGGTTTTGGCTGAAGTCGATGGGGATGATCATATTTCCCATCTTTATATGTGTTTTCTCTATCTTATCAACAAAGAATTTTTCCTTATAAGTTTTCTTCATTATTCAGCAATATCAGCCAGTGCCACACCTCAGCTACTTAAGTTGTTTCTGCCAAATTTATGCTTACTGATGATCTGTTAGTTTCTTATTGGGTTGACAATTGGACCTACTCCTTCAATGTGGAGTATCCCTAGTTTTCGTAACAAAACAATAGTAGTACGTAGTATATCATATTTTCTTGTATTCTGCTAAGGCCTTCTAATCCTTCTATAGCCTGTTGCTTAAGAATCTTCCATCAGATCCTCGTTCCAACTGTCAAAGACGTTTTGATTTATTACTGTTAAATGCACATAAATTTATAGAAATGTAGTTGTACAGTAGACATGCAACCAACCACAATCTGCTATTAGGGCTTTGAGCTTAACATATTTCCTGAGGTTACTAGAACACTATCTTTCCAGTGCGCATTTAAGTGTCCAAATGATCCTTAGTCCTTACCGTAGCTAATTTCTAGTGCTCTAGCATTGGCCTTCCCGTGATGTAGGAAAAAAGTAGCTGCTCAAGAACTAGGGAGAGTCATAAAAGAGCTAGAATTTGGGAACACAAAGAGAAAGTTTGCTGACACGATTTCCTTTAATAACTAAGTTTTTTCATTAGTTTTTTTTCATTAGTTTTGTTCTTGTAATTAAGCATGCTTGATGTGTGGTGCTTCACTAAGCACGCTTTGCCTAGTCGTACAAATACTCATTTAATGTTCTTTTTAAAAATAGTCCAATATCCTAACAGCTGTTGGTTGCATTGTGGCTTGTTGTAGCTCAATCTTGTACATTGAGGGTAATCTCGAGTCAAAAGTTTTCAGTGACCCAATTACTGGCCTTGTTAGGCGCATACGTGAGATTGCTGTACGCCAAAATGGTAATTTTATTACTGCCTCAATCATTAATAAGATTGAAATTTTCATTAGAGAAAAATCCACTTTGGGCCCTTCAACTAGAGCATTTTTTTCTTTTCTTGTCCACTTATTTGCAATCGGCCCTTTTTGGTACTCTGGCTATATTTTAAGTTCTTAACTTGTGGTTTTCAGTTATCTGAATTTTAATTTGAGGGATAAAAATAAGGCGGTAAAGGTTTGGATTTTCATTTTGGTCTCCGATATTTTTTTACACTTCTTTTTTTCCACTGTTGGTGCATGGTTATGGATCTCCTCACTTTCTGGCCTCCTGATCCCTTATCCGGTGATAATTCAAGAGGAAAATTGGCCAGCTAAGCGATGTGAGAAAAATCCAATCATGCACCAAAATTGGAGAATGGGTGTTGGTAACCCGAAGTTAAACTAATCCAATCAAAAGCAAAGTGGACATCAGTTTTATATTCAGATGACTTAAATCCTGATGTATGGTCACACAAATGATTACCCTCTAATAGCCGGAGTACCAAAAGAACTTAGTCGATCTTGAAGACAGAAGGCCAAAACAGGAAAATCGGTAAAGTTGGAGGATTAACAGTATTTTCTGACTTTGACCATATGACAACTGGTGTCATGAACTCCTCACCATGGGCCTTTGTAGGTCGAATTGTTTTCCTTGGCAAGCTAAACGATGCTGGGCAACCATCTAAAGGCGAAGTAAAATCCGTTGGTTACTACTGACACTGGATTCACCAAGAAAATGGGCGATTGACAAATCAGACTCATTTAACTTTTGTAGCTGAAGTAAAATCTCTTGGTTACAACTAGCACCGGATCACCAAGAAAATGGGCAAACGATGAATCAGATTTACTGTTGATAGTCAAAATACCTGTTGGGCATTTTTGCAGGACTCAACTCAATGTACCTTCATATTGTATTTTTGATACGACACATTTTACTTCACTACTGGGTGCTAATGCAAATTTAATTAGTAGTTATTTTATCAATTAATGTATCAATTACATAAGTGTCAGATTTGGGATTTTTGAAGTTTTAGCTTACTTGGTGCAACATCTTGCTCCATGTCAATAATGTTAGTTGAGGCCTGAGGGGTTATGGTTTTAGTTGCTGTGATGGAATAAAGTGCTTGGTGCCTGAAGCACTTCGGTTATTTATTTGAAATTGCACAAAATTGACGGAATAATACTTCCTCTATCCCATAAAATTTGGCCAACTTTGACTTGCATGTAAAATAATAAAGTAAAATTGTGATGTAATGATTTCTGTAGAGGAAATTGAAATAATTTTAATCCCTTATTCCTTACTTTAAATGAATTGACAATATTCTTTAACAGCTAAATAAAGAATTTTGATAAAGTTTTATGAGCAAAGCAAGTATTAACTATTATGGAGTATTAGATAAAGATTTCAATGTGTTTTTAATTGATCTTTTGTTTTAGAGGGAATTTGGGTGATAATTGGATTTTACACCTCATTTTCAAAAACTTTGACTTTACACCCTCATCATATATACCACCTTCATCCCGTTAAAAGGTTCTCATAGCAAAACGGTATGGTTATTTAGACAATAATTAAATAAAGTACTTAGAGTAAATTTTGAGAAATAACTTTAATAGGTATACATTATAATGTAGTTAGTATTTAGTATTGATAACTGAGATGTTGTAAATGTATTATTTTTAATATTTAATGATTACTTTGTCACTTAAGATTGTTAATTGTTTCCTAAAATGAAAATGAGAGCCTTTATATGGGACGTCCAAAAAAGGAAAGTGGGAACCTTCTAATGGGACGGAGGGAGTACTACATAACATTTTGATGATGAGGTGCAAAGTCAAAGTTTTTTAAAAATGGAGTGTCAAGTCCAATATCACCTAAAAAGTGGTGTGCAAAGTCGAATTCCTTTATGCTTTAGGTTTGCAAAATATTTTTTTGGTTTTTCCTGTTATATGCACTATTTTGTTTTTAGTCCATCTCGAACTCCAAAACCACTCCATTTATAAAGAAATTTAAATTAAACTAAATACTCTTTTAATAACATGATAAATAATTAAACAAAATCTATTAGTTGGGGTTGTTTTGTTGTCAAACATAAGTTGTTATCATCGATGATGGACTAAAAAAATCCAACTTAAGTTTCAAGGATAAAAAAACAAAAACAAAAAATAATTCGCAGATAAAATGTAAGGAAGTAAAACCAAATGTACTCCCTCTGATCTTAAATAAACTTCGGGGTTTGACTCTACGGGTTTTAAGAAAGTCAAATTTTTGTTTTTAACTTTCTTATCATACTCTTACAAAACGTAGATAAAGTGTAGTGGGAGAGAGAGAGTGTGGGTGAAAAGTAAGTCATCGAGTAAGGTATAAGGGTAACTTTATATTAAAAACTTGCCAAAAATAGAATTAATTTGAACCTACCCAAAAAGGAAATTGTGAAGTTTATTTAGGACTAAAAACGTATTTATATTTAGGAAATTGTGAAGTTTATTTAGGAGGGAGTTATATTTGTAGAGACTAAAAATGTATTTAAACTTTAATTAAATCATGATAGGCAAGATCGAGAATCATATGATTTCTTGATTGCACATGAAAGTGTAGTAGTGCAGATGGTCTGATTAGCATCTATACTACCACAAACATTGCCACCACACGAATGGGGTGGTGATGCAGGCGGCAGGTGGCGATTAATCACAACCGGTAGGTCACTGTGGCGGAAGTCACTAACCAAGACGACGATGGGGCAGTCATTGGACAGTTGGTCACTAATCGGCGATGTCACTGGTCACTAATGATGGAATCACTGCCGACGCGTAGAAGAAAAGACGGGAGGAGTCACTCTCGGGGGACTCAGTGTAGGTTGATTCACTATCGATGGGTACAAGACAACAAAGCGGTGGTCACGGGGGGTGGGGGGATATAGCAAGGGCTGCGATGACGGCGTCAACGGCGATGATGATGGCGGTCATTAGGGTGGCTAGAAGGCATTGATTAATTAAGTATTAATTATAAAAAAGAAACATCACAATAATAAATGTAAATATTAAATAAGGTCATAAGTGATATGGTAAGTCATATTTTTGGAAAATTTAAAAACAATTCTTTTTTTTTTTGCCTTTTAAATATATTTTGGTAATATTGATAAAAAAATGCCTTAAAACTTATGTTATGAGTAGTACTTTTGCAATCTCAATACATTTTATATACTCTAATTAAATTACACTATATTTGTTAATTATTTAATTTTATTTTCTTTCAAGAATTAGCAAGAACTTAAATCAAATCTTAAAATAGTAATCTTTTATAATAATTTACAACTTAATTATTTTAAACAAAATCTCAAAAGATAATATAAAGTTATACTCTCACTTGTCAGTGAGTTAAGTAGTTCATATATTATGTTTTTATTGAAATTGCTATAGTAATTTAAATACTACGTAGTAATATTTATTGTTTAATAAAATTTATTCGTTACCAAGAAAATGGTGAACTGTTTTTTTAGAGTTGTTGATTACAATTTCATTTTTCTAGTTATCTGAGATATGTTACGATGCACTAAAGCTTGTTTAATTATATGCAATATAAGTTTTACCAGTAGTAATTTTTTAATTGTATAGTAGAAATATGGTGGAAAAAACAATTAGATAATATGAGTTTTACAACTTAAAGTTAGAAAGGAATGAATAAAATGAAATAGAAATAAAATTTTCTTCTTCAATTTTACTAATTAATCAACTGAGAGTGTAATTGTGAGAAAAAATAAAATTTGAGTCTTTTTTATATAAAAGTTAAAGACTAGGATAAGTTTGTGAATTCGATAATAGTTGAGGATATATTAAGATAATTGTTCTTATTATTGTGATAATCATCATTACTATTACTATTATTATAACTATTACCATTACTATTACTACTATTAATATTAGTGTTAATGTTATTTTTACATGTTATTATCATTGTTATTATTATCATTTTCACATGCTATTGTTGTTATTATCATTTTTGTTATGATAACATGTACATTAGTATTGTTATCATTGTTGTTATTATTGTTACCTATTACTCCCTCCGTATTTTAAAGTTTGCTACACTTTCTTTTTGGCATGTATTTAAAAGTTTGCTACACTTTCCCTTTTTGGTAATTTTTTCCTTTAAAAATACTCAATTACCCTTACTTTTTCTATTTTTATCTCTCTTTCATACTTTAACACACTCCTACTTTTTCTATACTATTCATTACCCCTACTATTTCTTTCTTAAATAATGAGTCCAATGCTATTGTAGTGAACTTATAAATACGGAGGGAGTATCATTTTATCGAATTGGCACTGCCTGGGGGTGTTGTTTGATCAACAATGGAGGAATATGAAGGATAGAGACTTAGAGTCTCGAATAATAATATACCATCCCATAATGTAAGATAGATATGCGTTTGATGTGGATTTAAAAAAAAGTGGTTTTACAATTTTACACTCCAAAAAGTAAGAAAAAATAAAATAAATCCACAAAAAAAAAGAATGAAATGATAGAAAAAGGTCTAAAGTAGTGAAATAAAAAGTTCGATTTAGGAAAGTGTTCATATTTTTAAACATCTCCAAAGAAGTGTATCTTACAAAGTGAGACGAAGGGAATATATAGATTATCATATGATGAATCTAATATGTAATAGAATCTATCTATTAAATTATAATATTATATATATGGAATAATATAACACGGAGTACTATCTATTACTAGTAATCTAATACGATAGTATGTAATAGAATCTATTTTGAAGTAAAATAGAAATTAAACTATGGTGACAGGTGACTTAATGTTGTGATCTGGGCTTGAGACTATAAAAATAAGGATGTTTTTACTTGGACTTATTACAATCCTAGACCAGACTTCAACAATTGTAAAATACGCATAGATCAAACCAAATCAATTCTGATCAGAGTTATTTGACCAGACCCGAAAATTTTTGTCCAACTACAAACATCCTAACAGTTGGTTCTATACAATAGAAAAAGGCGTCAGCACATCCCTACTCCAAGTTGATCACAAATTTTGCTTTGCTTCAGTAAATGACATACTATGGGGAAAAATACAAAAAACCTTGTACTGCATTCATACTTCATAATAAATAAACCCATATGATGTTTTACAACCACCCCGCCCCCTCCAGATTATAACATATGTATGCATCTCAAGCAGCACACGAACAGACCAGCCAAACCACCAACTTGCTCTTCCCTAATTATATACGATAGTATATAGCAAGGGCTTACAATGTCATTTGTTGTTTAACCAAATGTTTCCCCTTACAAAAAGTCGCTGTCAGCCATTTTAGCTACATATCTCTTACCAAACATGCCTGTAATGTTTCCAATCCCGCATTGATTTAATGGCATAGCATGCTGCACCAGTTGCAATCTTCAGGCAAACATAACATTTTAACTCTGATGAATGAGCTTCTTCCGTTTTGTACGTGTAGACGTAAAAATCCTTTTAACCATGGCAATGGGATCATCCACCTGAATACCATAAACAACATATGACTTTACAGCTACATATATCACTAATGCTTTTTAAAAGTTGCACATGCCCAAAATTAAAAACTGAAGCTTAGAAAAAAAACACATGACACTTTTTTCAGAATGAAGAAACTTTATCGAAGCTTAGAAAAAAAACACACGACACTTTTTTGAGAACGAAGAAACTTTATCGAAGCTTAGAAAAAAAATACATGACACTTTTTTGAGAACGAAGAAACTTTATCGAAGGGTCAGGCAAGTTGGAGAAAGATTTCAAAGAACTTAATCAGAGGCTTCTGTGATACAGATTTATTCTTAAAGAATGGCTATATAAGATCAACGATAGAGCAATATAAGCTAATCTTATTACCTATAAAAACTAGGAAAAATTGATAATAATATCTCCCCTATTTCTGGTCCGCTCATAATAATCCCAACTATCATTTATTTCATAATCATCCCAACTTTAGGGACCTTCCGATAATAATGGTACCACGTGACCGGCTACTTGTTTAGCCAATTAAAAAAGAAGTGTCCGGGTGTAATACTCTGAACTATAATTTGTCGACTTTTACTAGACCCTGAAGATTAAACGAAAATGTTCATGAATAAATATTAATTGGTAAAAATTGATTATAGATATTTACTTTTACTATATTTTAGATGGTTTATGAAATTAAAGAATATAAAATATGGAAAAATATATATAAATTTCAAAATTAAAATTTTATACGTAGTAATATATAAGTTATTATAAATATATAAAGAGTATAAAATATATAAATAAAGAGAGTGTAAAGGCCAATAAAAAAAATTAGAGGAAAAATGAAAGAAGTACAAATTTAAAGTTAAAAATGAAAACCTACACTTTTAAGATTAAGAAAGTGAAAAAACATAAAATATACGGAGTAATATTTTGCGAAATATAGTGAAAATCATAAAAATGAAAGCCTAAAAAATAAAGTGAAAAAAAATTATTTTGTATTGATAAAAAAACATTTTAAAAGTAGTTAAAATTTAATACAAAATCATCAATTTGCAAACGAACCCAAAAAAAAATATTTATAAAAAATAGATATATTAGTTTTTCTAAAAATAAAAATATTAAATAAAATGTAACAATTTTATTTTTAAATGTGGTACGTTTTTAGATTTAAATTTGCATATTATAAAATCTGAATTTTGAATTTTTTAATAAAATTTTCTACCTTTTGTAAAAAAAAAAAATGAATTGATGATTGGGATTATTTTAAGAAGAACGAGCATAGTTCGTATTATTATTTATATAATACGTGTAGTTTCTATTAAAAAAATGACCTGCTATAGCAGGTTATACCCGGTCATGGACCACCGACCACTATTGACGGATAAGCCATATAGTTGGGATTATATAGAAATAATCAATACTTGGGATTATTGTGAGAGAACCGACAATAGTTGGGATTATTATTTTCAATTTTTTTTAAAACTAAAAGCAATTTGAGTTACTCCATTTATTGCACAGAAAGGTTGAAATGAGTAATGATGTAGAGATAGATGGGGAATGCAACTATCTAATGAGTCATTGCAACTATCTAATGATGTAGAGATAGATGGGGAGTGCAACTATCCATTCATTGTCACTATGGTCCAAGTTGATATGAAATATTATGCATGACGTTCCAACTACTGGAGCTATTCGAAATGCATGTTTGGTTGATGAAAAGAAGATAATGAATTAATGAAGCATGCTGAACATAATGAGAATACAAATTAATGTGGAGTGCATATCAATGTTATATTGTTATATGAAGTAACAGGTAGGATTAAGTATTTCAGGCAAGCCTAAGAGTGAAAGTAACGCAGACACTGAAATTAGACACAGCGAGCCTATACAATTGCTTTACTACTTATTGGTTAATTTAGGCTGGCTTACTGGTATAGCACAGAAATTGGAAATGGGCAACAGAAAAAAACAGTTCTTCTAATGTACTACACAAATGCTAGGAAATGTGTGAACATCTGAAAAACTAATAGGACTATGTTACTATATACAAGTGGTTTATAAAAAAACTATAAAAGAATTAGAGTTAAAATTACATAACTACAGATATACAACAGCACTAAAATGTACAATTTAAAGGGAGATTTTCCTAAATAGTACTTCCTCCGTTCCACAAAACTTGGCCAACTTTGACTTGCACTTGGAATAATAAAGTAAAAATAGTGTGGTTGAGATTTGTGCGGAGAGAGAAACAATTGTAACCAAACATTTCTTACTTTAAATTGAATTGGCAAACTTTTTGTGACGACCAAATAAGGAAATTTGGTTAAGTTTTGTGGGACGGAGGGAGTACTATGTTTTTTCCTAAATAGGAGTTAATTACATCCTCAAACCACACTACCATATTATGGAAGTATGATTTCAAGATGACAGTATTTGCTCCTATTTGGAAGAAAGGCGTAGTACTCCTGTTTAGGAGAAAGACATGTGCTTTACTCTTATTTAGGGTAATTTTTTTATTTTAAATATATCATACTTCAAATATTTTAATTTTTTTACTCCTATTTTTTTATTTAGGGTCATCAGCGACATCACTTTAATTCAAATATATAGTGGTAGGTGTAAAGAAATATATAGCATCAACTGATTTCCCAAAATTTGGTAACAATAAAGATAGAGCAAGAAAAGCAGCGTTTAAGTTTTAGTGTGTTTTACACCAGAAAATGTGTTTCCTTTTAATATTTGAAGTAAAATATTTCTTAATATGTGAAAATGCACTCCTGTAACATCTTTTACTTACAAAAACACTTCCAAATGTTTATTGATTTACATAATGACACCCTCAAATACTTGGCGAGTTTTTCATGAGTTTGCAGAAAGGAAACATGTGTAAAACTCAGAAATGTTCGTCTCTAAGAACTTCCCTGTATCATAAAAGCTTACCTTATATTGTTATCTACTATATTCATTTTTCTTCTTTTCGTACCTTAATCAAGGATGAGGAAGGGGCATCTGCCACCGAAGGGTGAGAAAGCTCATGTTGATGCTCTAATGCAGATAATGTTTGTTGCCATCCAGGTGCAGAACCACCATTAGATGTGATCCAGGGACAGTAATATTTGTGTAGCCTTATTGGGTCAAACTCTGATGCTCTGATTCGTGCTGTTTCTTCTGAAATCTTTTCTGGAAAAAATACAATAAATAATCACTGGTTAGCTCAACATATATACAAAGGAAGAAACCAAAGGTCAATTTTCACTCAGTGGCAGTTGCAAGGAAAATAGCAATCTAGCATGCTATTAAAACCAACATTTATAGCATAGCTTATTTCATTCTTCTCATTCATTTTACATCTTTATTTTCACTTTAAGCAGTGAAGGGGAGCCTTGGCTCACCGGTTAAGGTGTTGCTGTGTGACCGAGAGGTCACGGGTTCAAGTTTTGGGAGCAGCCTCCTGTCAAAAATTTGTGGTGGGACCCTTCCCCGGACCTCGTCTCATGTAGGGATGCCTTCGTGCGCCAGGCTGCCCCCCCCCCCCCCCATTTGCACTTTAAACAGTCATCTAGCCCTATGAGTATATAGACCTTGAAACAATGACAATAGCAGAAGCTAATGATTAGGAAACAGCTCAACTCTTAAGGTCGATGAAGGGTTTCAGAGTGAAAGGATTTGGGGGGAGGGGGCTTAGTGTATACCATGATATATAGAATGCTTTGAAATATGAATAATGTGTGATTAAAATGATATACTATAACAATTTTAATAATCATTGTAGTATGTATAATGGAAAGCTTTAAAATGCCCCCTAATACCTCCCTCCAAACAGACCCTGGAGTGACAGGCTAGAAAACAGGATAATCAATAGGCTCATACCAACATTGAGCAGAATCTGATGATTCTCAACCATCAAATCTACTACACTATCATCCTTGCTGTCACCTTGCCTGACTGCCACCGCCAATTCTACTTCTCCATCATCCTTGCTGTCACCTTGATTGTTAGCTTGTTTGGAATTGCAAGTTACTACCTCTGGCCCACAATCATGCTCAATAGTTTTCCCTTGATGAGATGTGTCGACACCTTCTCTACTGGATCCAAGATCATCAACATTGGGCAGAATATCATGGTCTTCAACCATCCTATCTACTGCATCATTATCGTTGTTACCTTGGTTAACAGTTACTACCGGTTCTACTTCTCCATCATCCTTGTTGTCACCTCGACTGATTGCTTGTTTGGAATTGTAAGTTACTACATCTAGCCCATCATCATGCTCAGTAGTTTTTCCTTGATGATATGTGTCTCCACCTTCTCTACTTGATCCCAGATTATCTCCATTTTGAGATGTAGAATGATTTTCAACAGGTGGGTCAACTTTCACGATATCATCTGCATTACGCTGTAGCTTGTCAATCTCGTTTGGAACTTGTGTTGCCATCTGATCAGAAATTCCCTGTTCATCCAGATAACTGTTCTTTTCTTTCCCTACCAGGAGTGAGCTCTCAGAAGTTGAGACATCCCTTATTTCAAAATCATTTGAAAATCGGGCTCTTAAATTGTGTCCAACAATAGGAAGAGATATTTTTGCCATATAACTTTGATTGGCTGGAAGTGGGCCACCTGCAATAGTTACATTTGATGTTGTTGAAGGAGCAAATGTAGAATTTGATATGCCTTCTTTACTTTTATCATCAGCAATACGTTCAATGTTAACATCTGTATATCCGTTTAACCTTAAAAACTCAAGAGGGCGTTGAACCATAGAATATACCCACAATCCAACACAGGACCCACAAATTTTACACTCCAACACAACAGAATTTGGATCAGATATTGCTCTGTCGGAGGTTTGGATATCATCACTTGCTCCACTATCCTCATTAGAAGAAAAAAAGGTAATACTAATATTCCGTCTGCTAAACTGAGATAAATGTCCATTCTGTTTATCCTTGGCAAATTGATCTGATTGGTCCTTTGAATTGACAAAGTATGGCAAAGTACGGGGTTCCCATCCACATAAGCTAATAAGCCTTTGTGCCTGCAAATATTTTCAATATAGTAAAACAAAATAACAGGAGGAGCTTATACGTTTTTATTATATTATTATTGATTATAAATGCAAAGTTAGGAGAAAAGATATATAAGCCTGATCTGCGTAATGACTATAAATATAAGAAAATGTACACATCTAATGCCCTAGCTATATGGTAATTGGAGACTCAATCTATCTATAAAGATGGTGGTCAACATCCTTTCACTTTTAACACTGTTGCAGCATTCAACCTTCAGGGTAGAGAATGAGGAGGTTTGCCGCAATCGTGTTAAATCCAAGAAAGTTGATCATCGACGTTATAAAAGGATTGAATCTCCAATTATAAAAGAAAGACATATATTGCTTAGAAGTTTCTCGGGACAAAAAACAACACTCCAACCATCCCTAAATAATTCTTGTTATCCTTTTTGGGTTGTGCCAATATAATTTTCTTTTTTCTTTTTTTGTCAAAAAATATGTGGGTCATGACATTTTACATTTTTCTACACAAATCTCAACCACAAGACCTGTTTTTTACTTTTTCAAACACTTTATCAATAGCCTACCAGCTTAGGGAAATTGACTCGGAGTACAAATTGCAACAATGTGTGTGTGTGTATTGGAGAAATGAAATTTTATTGGAAAGTATAGAAAAAGGTGAAAAACGAAAACAAATACGAGAAAGATGTAGAAATACAAGCAAGCCAACCCTAAGTACAACTCAACAAATAACCTTCCCTAAAAAAAGCAGTCTTTTTTTGTTGAGGGAGGTTGACGACGGGCCTTCACGACCATCTGCAAACCAATGGAGGCGCTCCTTTCAGAATAGGAGATCTGTATTTGTAGGACAGCCTCACCGCATAAATGGCCTCTTGGATCTCCGGTCAGGGGCAGAAACCACTCTTTCGATCAATGGAGGTACTATATAGACACCCAAATATAGAGGAAGACTGAGGAAGACTTGGTGAAATTCGGCCAGGTTTGCAAACTGAGAAAGTCCTTGTACGGGCTGAGGCAGTCTCCTAAAGCGTGGTTTGATAGATTTACAAGATCAGTTCTTAAACAAGGGTTCATGCAATGTCAACCAGACCATACATTGTTTATAAAGAGGGCAGATTCTGATAAAATGGCTATTCGTATAGTATATGTTGATGACATTATTACGATTGGGTATTATAAGGTTGAATTGGACAGATTGAAGGCTCACCTAGCAAGAGAGTTTGAAATCAAGGAGCTAGGTGAGTTGAAGTACTTCCTGGGAATGGAAGTGGCAAGATCTAAGAGAGGCATTTTCATTTAAAAAAGGATTATGTCCTAGATTTGCCAAGTTAAACTGGAATGCTTGGGTGCAAGCCTATGGACACTTCTATGGATATATCAAAGAAGTTAGGCAGGAAGGAGAGTCCACCGGTTGATAAGGGTAGATGTCAAAGGCTGGTAGGAAAGCTAATCTACTTATCTCCCACATGGCCAGACATTGCTTTCTCAGTAAGTGTAGTGAGTCAATTTATGAATGATCCAACTGAGGAACATCTAATTGCAGTCTATAGAATTCTAAGGTACTTGAAAATGACTCCGGGAAAAGGTTTTTTGTTCCAAAAACAGAGGACAAGGAAGGCTGAGGTGTTCACTGATGTTGACTGGGCTGGAAGCATCTTAGACAGACGGTCGACTACTGGTTACTGTACTTATGTCTGGGGGTAATTTAGTCACTTAGAGGAGCAAAAAACAGTCAGTGGTTTCTAGAAGTAGTGCAGAGTCTGAGCTCAGGGCTTTAGCACAAGAAATCTGTGAAGAATTATAGTTAAAAAGATTGATGAATGAGCTCAAAGTTCCATTTGAAAACTCCATTCAGATTTCATGTGATAACCAGTCTACTATCAGTATTGATAAGAATCATGTTCATTATGACAGGACCAAGCACATTGAGATAGATAGACGATTCTTATCAGAGAAGATTGCAGTAAAGGATATCTAATTGATCTATGTTCCAACCAAGCAACAAATAGCGGATATTCACCAAGGCACTTCCAAGAATTCAGTTTGAAGACCTATCAAGCAAGCTATGCAAGGATGATATCCATCACCCAGCTTGAGGGGGAGTGTAGATTATTTTAATTATTGTATACCTTGATTCACCCTATCATATATATATATATATGAGGTGATATCTTAGAGATTTCAGAATCAGGATCTTTAAAATATCCCTTATTCTTAGGATCTTTAATTACTAGGACTCATTCCTTGTTATCTACTTCTCTAGCTGTATATATTCTGTAACCTTCTTCTCGTTTGAAACTTTGAATATAACAAAGACTGAATAGAGACATCATTCTCTACTTCTTTCAATCTACAAGAACTACAGTGGGTCCAAATTTCATAGCCGAACACCAACTCAAGTCCAATAAAAATGTTGAGGAAAAAATTGAGTAATAGCATAAAGTTGAGGGACTAAATCAGGAATTGTTTGCACGACGTTATCAAGAACGGTGAGCTACAAGTGCTTAAAGACCAAGAACATTAGAACTGTATGAAAGTAGAAAAGAGTTGCTATTTAATTGCACAATTAGTGAAAATTTAAGTTACGAACCTGATAATAAGTTAGAGAAATATCTGATTTTGGCTCGCTTCTAAGACCATCTGTTCCAAGTCTTTCAGTGGAGTTGACAGACTCTAATATTGTGGATGCTTTGAGAAATTCTTCTAACTGGGAGCTTCTCAAGAAATTAACTACAGCGGGAGAAATCATAGGTAGAGCTACAAGCTGCTCCAGAGAAGAACAACGGGATTTATATTCCTCCACTAAAAGAGTAGTAGACATTTGCGGGAAATGTGCTAGCTTTTCATCACATGCATTGTCAACCCATGGGCAAAGCAGCTTGTGCCCACTGTCCAGTTTCAAGCTGAATACTGATGCTGCTTTATCAACTGTTGATCACAGTAAAAAACAGAAACAAATTACATCTACCAATGTTCACCTAAAAAAGATAATAATACTGTTTTGTGCGCTATTTAATATATTTCAGCCACTAGGACAGTAACTTTGGGAGGAGTTTAGGTCGGAACGGGGGCTTGCCTTGTTGGAGGCTCCAGGATGGTGGACAAGAAAATAAAAGACGCACTCCACATGCTTCACATGCAATAGTATCCATATCTATGTTTATCCATCCCCTTCTCGCACAGTTTAATGCACTTATCACCTGTTAAGAATTGTGATGACTTAAATTAACAATTTCTACCTTTTTTAGATACTACTAAAATCTCACAGAAAGGTTTGTAATACAAACAGAAGAACAAGAACAAGTTTATCTTTACAAAGATAAGCAAAAGCCAAAATAAATGTGCTGTTAAATATAAGAGGGGTAATTTGAGTTTGCACCCCATATTATTGTCTAAATTAGACTTTGCATCCCGTTTTTAAAAATCTTTGTTTTTGCACCCCAACCCCATATGAAAAGACAAAAATGCCCTCGATCAGAATATGTTGTAGGCCAACAAAATTGTTAATGGAGGGGCATTTTCGTCTTTTCATATAGGGTTGGGGTGCAAAAACTAAGATTTTTAAAAATGGGGTGTAAAGTCCAATTTGAGCAATAAAATGGGGTGCAAACTCAAATTACCCCTAAATAAAATAACGAGGATTACATTGAAATTACCCAATAGGCCAATAACACAAGATTTTCTAAGGGGAAAAAATGACTAAGAAACCAGTTGAACTCTCATAGTTCATAAATGTTTTGACATTTGCCTAAGAGATAAAAGAATAAGCTCAATAAGTTATAATTATGAATTCTAAAAATTGTTACATCAGTAAACCTGACAACCAATAATCAGTCAAATTTAACTAAATAAAAACCCAGCTTCAGCATTAGTCTAATTTATAAAAAAATTGTTGCAATGATAAAAGTTCATTAACTGTGTAAAAAGGGTCTAGTGTTTCCACAATGACATAGAAGAGACAAAACTGTTTCTCAGATCAAAGAAAAATCCTTTTTATCCAGCAAAGCTCGAGTATTGGCTTGTTGTCGCCCTTCTGATAGTAATAAAACTTAAAATCACGGGAAAAGTTGGTAGATCAGAATAATGAGTGAAATTGCAATGAGCCTGTAATCTTCAATATCCCCCCAACAAGTGCTACTGATGCACATTTTAGGAGGGCTATTAAATGCTACAATAACAAGTTCCTCTTTTTGAATAAATGATGAGAAGAGCAAGTCCACAAGATTAAGTGTTTGAGTTCAACCTGCGGTTTGCCAAACCACAACATGGCTTTGAATGTGGCCAGCCTCCTATAGAAATCACCTCGGTCCCATGGTCTGCAAGGAGACGATTCATTTGTTCCACTCGAACCCCACAGATTACTTAATCTTACAGCCGATTTTGTTCTCAGATCACTCACTCCTACTGCATAGGAGGAATTTGGTCTTTTCTTGCCTCTTGAGAGCTGACCTTCTGATGAACTGAGTTGGCACACACACAAATCAGAAAAATAAATCGCTAATATGAAACCGTCATACCTGGCAATAATACACTCAAAATCACATAAGTTTAGAAAAGATGTGAAAACTACATGAACAGATAGAAAAGCTGAATTGACAAATCCATAAAACAAAACAAATAGAAAGAGGTGTGAGAAATGGGAGAGCGAAGGAAAACCTGCTAGCATTGAGATTGGATTTGGGAGGAGCTTGAATGAGCTTGTCCATCACCGCATTAAACCTCTTCTCTACATCATCGCCCATCTTCTGCTACTCTCTTTAATACATATGTTATATAAATGTACAGAGGGGTTTCTTGCTTCTGTATGTATACTAGGGCGCAATTCAAGCTACACGCAGCAGCATAAGAATGATAGAGGAGGAATGATGAAGCTATACGTCGTGTGTTGGTCAGACCGTCAGAGCTTTCGGGAAGCAGCGGCTAAGACTTCAGTTCGTATACCGTGGGATCATCCCACGGTGAGGACCATGCTCCTCTACTCAAAACGGTGTAGTTTTGCACAACTTTTAATTAAAAAAATTCACGCGTGAACAGTAACACGCGTGAACAGTAACACGCGTGAACAGTAGCTTTTAATTTTTTTTTTATCTTTTTTGTCCCAATAATATTATGGTGTAACTCGCGTGTAAAGAAATGTAACTCACGCTATTGATAAATGTAACTCAAGTCCAGTCAAAATGTAACTTGTCAAATACATATAGTATAAGAAGTAAAACATTGATTTCAATGTAAATAATGAAAAAAAAGAAGTATAATTGTCAAATTATTTTACATAAATAGTGTATATGGTTTGTTTTTAATGTCAGCCCATAAAAATAATTTTTTATTTAAAAAAATTCTTTAAATATCAGGGGGCTTATTGTGTTGTGTAACTCGAATTATATTGCGGTGTAACTCGTATTAAATAATATGTAAATCATGTGCAAGTTTATGTAACTTGCTTAGAAAAGTTGACATGTAACTCACGCTAATAGACATGTAACTTAGCTCATTAAAATGTGTAACTCGCATTATATTGTGATGTAACACGCGTTTTGGAAAATGTAAATCATTTGTGATGTAACTCGTGTTATAGAACATGTAACTTGCCTTGATAAAAAATATAACTCACGCTCATGCAAAATGTAACTTGCTAAGACAAGTTCAAATGTAACTCGCGTACATGAATGATGTAAACCATGTGTAAGAAATTGTAACTCGCGAACAAAATTTATGTAACTGTGTGTATTTTCAAATATAACTTGAGCCAAATCAAAATATAAATTGTTCAATACTGTATAAGATATATATATGTGTGTGTGTGTAAAGAAGATTCCTAAATAGCTTCTAAGTTCCTCATGGCAGCAACGTTACGAGACATCAGGACACCATGAAGTTTCATCCGCTCCTAGGGTTTGCGATTTAATTGTCAAGACACCAGGAAGAATTGTTGCTCGCTACGTTCCCTTTGTGCTGCGTAATAACTAAGTCGGTGGCAGTGCAGCACCGGTGGCAGTGCAGCACCGGCTATACCTAGCTAGCGAACAAGAGGTGGTTGCTTTTTTATTAATAAAACTATGTCGTTTGGGATCGGCACACCATGCTCATGGTGGGCCGATCCCACGGTATAATTTGCGCTAAGACTTGGAGCGGTGAGGTATTAGGAGTCCAAAATGTTAAAGATGGAAATTTTGGACTCCTAATTTCATTTAGTGGTGTGTTATAGAGGGTAGTAAAAGTGGGTAAATGAATGGAGGGTTCTAAAAATAGAGGGAGGATTGACAGGGAAAAAGAAAAGGAAAAAGAAAAGAAAAAGAAAAAGTAGGCCGCCTCTTGCATATGTTATGCATTCCGCTGATGTCACGGTGATGTCATACTGATGTCACTATAATCCCAAAAACTTTTAGAGCCCGTTTGGAGAACTCTGTTTTCGGCTTATCAGGCTTATCAGCCAGCTTTTTCACCAAACACGTAACTTTTACTTTCGCGCGCTGAATTGTGTAATAAGCCGAAAAAGTAAGGTTGGAGTTACTTTTCTGGCTGTATTGGCTGAAGTTACTGTAGAGGACCATTTTAGCTATTTTTACATATAATTTTTTCTTTAATTTATTAATAAAATATATTTTTAAAATATTTTTTTCTTAAATCAGCAGAATCAGTCAAAACAGCCACTCCAGCCAGAATATCATAAATTTCAGCAGAATCAGCCAAAACAGTCGATTTTGGTGCTACCAAACGGGCTCTTAATCTTTTGTAACTTTTTAATTTGTTCTCCAAGTTTTTCAAAACATATATCAAAATTCATGAATTTTTGTGATCTTTCATATGACACCAATATGTAATATGTAAAATGGATTTTTTTTTGAAATTTTAAGTGTTGAAGTTTTCTTGAGCCTAAAAAAATCATATAACACATATTTTTAATTCATGCAACCTTCACAAATAAGTGAATATTTCATAATCTAACTTTACATGAAATAAATTCATTTTTTGTTAACCGAGAAACGTAAAAAAATAAATAATGAAATTTATTTATATTTATATCGAAATATGTCTTTTTTATTTTATAATTAATCGGATAAAAAATTAAAGGGAAAATAGTACTTATAATAATTTAATTAATGTTTTACTAAATTGATATGTAAAAAATGCGCAGAGTGTATTTTATTGACGATGCTGGAATGCAGAAAAATAAGAGTCAAAACACTGTTTTCATATGGACGGAGTCCATTTTTAACATTTAGACTCTCACACCACTCCAAATGGTGTAAGAGACGTCGTTCCTTACTTCCTTGACTTAAAGTTAGCGAAGTTAGCATTCGTTCCTTACTTCCGTAATTAGACGTCGTTCCTTAACTCCGTTCCCAAAGTTAGCATCCACATTCCGCAATCCGCATGTAAAGATAATTTACCAAACCTTGCAAAAAAAAAAAGATAATTTACCAAATAACCCTTCTTTACTTGGGAGTTTTCTATTTGCACACTTTTTGTGTACACTTTTTTTGTACAAACTGTCCAGTTGTCTGTGTACACGGGAGCTTCGTTTCTGCATGTGTACACTGGCAACTAGGAGGGTGTGTACAACAAAAGTGTAAAGAAAAGATGTACAAATGGCATTTTCCTTTTACTTGGACCATAATCTGTCCCATATCAGAATACATCAGACCAGAATAGATCAGACAAGACCAAACTTGGATAGTTATAAAAATACAAAGAAACCAGATCAGACCAGACCAGACCAGCAAATTACAGTCCAAGTAAAAACGTCCTTATAAGTGTCATAATGTTGCTCATTTAGGATGTGTTTACATGGACTGTAATTTGTTGGTCTCATCTGGTCTGGTCTGGTCTGATAATGTCTGGTCTCTTTGTATTTTTATAACTATCCAAGTCTGATCTGGTCTGGCCTGGTCTGGTCTGGTCTGAACTGGTTCGGTCTGGTCTAATCTAATCTGATCTGGTCTGGGATGGATTACAGTCCAAGTAAAAACATTCTTACAGATGAGACACGACTGGTTAATGTTAAGTCCTATCTGGATTAGAATGTCTTTCCGAATTAAAATGTCTATATGGATTAAGTTGTATTTATATACTCCCTCCGTATTTTTTTGTTTGCTACAATAGGTGTAGGCACATTTTTTAAGAGTGAAATAGTAGGGGTAATGAATAGTATATAAAAAGTAGGAGAGATGGTGGAAAAATATGAAAGAGGAGATAAAAAGTAGAAAAAGTAAAGATAGTTGAGTATTTTTAAAGGAAAAACTTACCAAAAAGGGAAAGTGAAGCAAATTTTTGAATACATCCAAAAAAGGAAAGTGTAGCAAACAAAAAAATACGGAGGGAGTATAAGTATGTTTATTTTTGTGCTATATAAATAAATTAGGTATAATTGTTGAGTTATAATATAAATAAGAAATTTCATTTATAACCATAAATTTATTCCATACTTGATTTAAAACAATTGAAGAAAAGACGTCTTAGGATGTTTTCTTTTGGACTGTTTTCAATCCTAGATCAGATCAGATTAGACCAAACCAGACTATATCAGATCAGATCAGACCAGACTTTTATAGTTATAAAATACATAGAGGCCAGACATTTACCAGACCAGACCAGTTCAGACCAGACCAGATCAGACTAGATCAGACCATACCAGCAAATTTCAGTCCAAAAAAACATCCTTAATAGATATCTTAATGGGACGGACTATTATTTTTCAGTTTAATAATTAAGTTAGTTCTTTGACTAATCACCAAGTCATATTTTCAATTAAGTCGTAAATAATATATGACTTAATGATTGAACAACTAAGTCGCTATTCGGTTTGAATTGTGTTCATAAAAAAAAAAAAAAAAAAAAAAAAAAAAAAAAAAAAAAAAAAAAAAATTGGCGGCCTCTCCCTCGAAGTAGGGTTTGCGTTTTGTCCGCCGATTTCGTACGGTGAAGGAAACGACCAGAAAGCAGCGCGACATCCATGGAGGCAAGTTTGCAGGCGAACATGCTGGGGCGCAGCGGAGTCACTCCTCAGACGGAGGGGATTTCCCAGGACGAGGAGGGGGATCCCCTAATGGCAGTCGGCGATGGGAACGTGGAGACTTTGATAGGCAGTACGTCGGCATGGGGCCAGGGCGTTCGGAGGAGGAATTGATGCTGGATGATGAGGATGATGCGGAGAAAGATCCCGAGGCAGCGAGCGAAGTGGTGGAAACTTTCCCCGTCGTTGGTACAATCCTCACGGACAAAGTGGTGAAGTTTCAATTCTTTCGCGATCTGTGGCGCCTTGGTAAGGGTGTTCTGATTCAAGAGATCGGGGAGAAGAGGTATCTGTTTACATTTTACCACTTAATTGATAGGAATCGTGTGTTGGATGATGGACCTTGGTTGTTTGACAAGAACTTGTTAGTTTTAAAAGCTATTGAGCAGGGTGATCTTAAGGTTCCGCTTGATACGGTTGATTTTTGGGTACAGGTGCATAATATCCCTTATGTATATTCTAGTCTGGCAAAATTGGAAGCTACTTGGATAAATTTATTTCCTGGGATGATAAGCAGTTTGATGAGAAGTGGGAAGCCTATATGAGAGTTAGGGTTAAGCTGGATGTGAGGAATCCCTTAAAGGTGGGTATAAATTTGAAAAAGGGTAAAGGGGAAGGGAAGTGGGTAGACTTCAAATATGAGAAACTTCCTAATTTTTGCTTTGCTTGCGGAGTTATAGGGCATTGACGTGCACTTTGTCGTGTATGCACTCAAAATAATAATCAATACAACACTAATACGTAGTATAGTGTAGTAAGGTTCGTATCCACATGAAAAGGAATACTTTTCTTTTTATAGAACTAGTAACAAAAGGGGGTTTAAGTTTGATTTGGTTTAATTAATTAAACACGAAGATGAACGACTTATGTGGTTTACTTAATAGATATGAAGACTTGGCTTTGCTTTTATCCACTTAATGAAATGTTCGTCGATCTCGGTTATATCTTTAATTATCTTCCT